AGATGTGAACAGGACTGTGGAGGTGGAAGGTACTCTAGAGAGTTACGCAAGTGGAAGACCCAAGGGAAGGCAGGTACCTGGTCACTACCCATTCTGATGCTGAAGCCTTTACCTGCTCTGAGGAGTCATTCTGTACTTGAAAAGGATCCCACTACCCTGTAGGCTGGGTAGACCAGGAAGCAACTTCATGGGCCTCTTCCACACCCTAATGCTGGCTTTTCTCTCTGGCTCGGGGGTGGGGTGCGCAGTCTGCTCCCCAGCCCTGACTAGAGTGCCCCTTGCTCCCTAGGTGGCCAAGACCAAGCAGCAGATCGAGGAGCAGCGGGTGCAGGTGCAGGTAGTGGAGCGCGCCCAGCAGGTGGCGGTGCAGGAGCAGGAGATCGCCCGGCGCGAAAAAGAGCTGGAGGCCCGCGTGCGCAAACCTGCGGAGGCTGAGCGCTACAGGCTGGAGCGCCTAGCGGAAGCAGAGAAGTAACTCCCCCTTCCTGCGCCCCTCCTGGCCCCTTGACACTCACAGGCAGGCAAGGCGCCTGGCCACGAACCCACCCACTTCCCTTCCGTCCCCAGGGCCCAGCTAATCATGCAGGCCGAGGCCGAAGCTGAGTCTGTGAGGGTGAGTTGTGGCATGGCTCCTGCTTAGCCCAGGGAAGGGCTTGGGTCAGATTTTCTTACTCTTTTTTGACTTTGTCACCCTGGAACTCACTGTGTGAAAAATAGGCTAGGTTCAAGCTCAACAGAGATCCGCCCTCCTCTGCCTCCCAAGTTCTGGGATTAAAGGCGTGTATGCACAACTGTACCCAGCTGGGGTTTTTTGTTTTTGTTTTGTTTTTTGATGTGGGGGGCAGGATGGGATAATGTACTATCTTGCCAGTGTGGAGATCAGATCTCTTCTTCCACACATGTGAGCCCTGGGGGTTTAACTTAGGTTGTTGGCCTTGCCAGCAAGCACTTTACACTTTGGCCTCAGAATTTCGTATTCTTAGTGAATGCCATTGGTCTCAAATGCCTTGTACCCTCTACAGATGCGTGGGGAAGCTGAGGCCTTTGCCATAGAGGCCCGCGCTCGTGCGGAGGCTGAGCAAATGGCTAAGAAGGCAGAAGCCTTCCAGATGTACCAGGAGGCCGCCCAGCTGGACATGCTGCTAGAGAAACTGCCACAGGTCTGGGGGTGGGTGGGACTGTGGGAGAGGGGTGAGGTGAAGTGGGTGACTGGGGGGCCATAAGTTAGGGGTGCCAACTAAAAGCCAGTGACCAAAGTGAGGAATTATGATCAGTCATAGGGTGAATTTGATGGGTGGCATGATCAGAGCTCTCTCTACTTACCAGGTGGCCGAAGAGATCAGTGGTCCCCTGACCTCAGCCAATAAGATCACACTGGTGTCTAGCGGAAGTGGAACCATGGGGGCAGCCAAAGTGACTGGGGAAGTACTGGACATTCTAAGCCGCCTGCCAGAGAGTGTGGAGAAACTCACGGGCATCAGCATCTCCCAGGTGATGGTGAATGCCGTGTGTGTGTGTGTGTGTGTGTGTGTGTGTGTGTGTGTGTGTGTGTGTGTACCTGTGTCATGTGATATAGTGCTTGATGGGCATCCAGGAGCCCAGGAAGTCACAGACAGTGACTTGGTGCCCAAGTCACCCTGCTAAAGGACCCAAATTTGATTCCCAGAACCCACGTCAGGTCCTTGCTTGGCAAGTTCTAGGCCAGTGAGAGACCTGAAAACAGAATGGTGCTTGAGGAACAACAGCCAAAGATATCTTTTGCCTTTCACACACAAGTACACATACAAAAGAATGACCTCCAACATGTTAAATAACGTAGCTTCTCATGGCTTGGAAGCAGAGCGTCAGCCAGGCTAGTTAGTCTTTATAGCCTGTGTGCCTGAGCACCACAGGAGAGCAAACGACTAGCTGCGATAATTCATTTCATGGCATATCTTTTTTTTTTTTTTTTTTTTTTTTTTTTTTTTTTTTTTTTAAACATTTATTTATTTATTATGTATACAATGTTCTGCCTGCGTGTATGCCTGCAAGCCAGAAGAGGGCACCAGATCTCATTATTGATGGTTGTGAGCCACCATGTGGTTGCTGGGAATTGAACTCAGGACCTCTGGAAGAACAGCCAGTGCTCTTAACCTCTGAGCCATCTCTCCAGCCCCCTCATGGCATATCTTTGCTTTCCTTGAATTTATCCCCCTGTGGGTTATGGCAAAGGTTAGAATGATGTATAAATCACAGCCACCTTGCTGGGGTGTGGGGGAGACTGTTTACAGAGTGCTTAGGGCAGTGTTGTGTGTGCCATAGAGATGTGTAGCTGGGTGTAGTGGTATAAACCTTTAATCTCAGCACACAGGGAGCAGAAGCAGGCTGAGCTATGAGTTTGAGGCCATCTGGGGCCACGTAGCAAGACTTTGTTTGGGGGACGGTGTTGTTTCTCTGTGTAGCCCTGGCTGTTCTGGAAGCCACTCTGTAGACCAGACTGACCTCGAACTCACAGGGATCCACCCACCTCTGCCTCCCGAGTGCTTGGATTTAAGCATGCACCACCACTGCCCGCCAAGACCCTGTCTTAAAAATACAGCACCATGCCTATAAAAACAATCTTCATTGGCCGGGCGGTGGTGGCGCACACTTTTAATCCCAGCACTTGGCACACAGAAACCTTGTCTTAAAAAACAAAAAAACAATCTTCATCAAGCTGGGTTTGTTGGACCCTCTCTGAAGCCTGAGCTAGGTTTTGTGCTAAGGAAAATTATGCAAGCAAAGCTCTGGTCCCTCTGACCTCGTCAGTGACAGATCTCCATGACTACACTGATGCCTGGAACTCGGAGATCCACCTGCCTCTTCCTCCTGTGTATGTGCCACTCACCCAGCAAGAAGATTGTTGGCCTTTCAATGCCCTCCTGAACCCATCCTTCCAAGTGGCTGCTGGAGAGCAGGTGCCTAGTTCCACATCATCACTTTTTTTCTCTAGGTGAATCACAACAAGCCTTTGAGGACAGCATGAGCCCTCAGCTCTCAGCAGTACCTGGACCTGTGGCTCAAGCCGTTTCATTGCATGCACCTCTCCTGGCCTCCCTGGGCATGCCTCCTGACAGAAGGATGCACCATATCTCCTTGCCAAATAGTCTGTGCTGTGCCTTGGAGGGGTTTGCTCCCTTCTCAGCCCGTTGCCATTGCCCTACACCAGGTTTTGATGATCCCACTTAAGCCCATCCCAACTATTTAACTTCCTGATTAAACTAGACTGTGTGAACCTGTTACCTACACTTTCTTCCCCAAGACCAAAAGATGGCCCTTCTTGTTAAATAAACCAAGTGCCGACACTAGTTTGCAGCATGCTGGAAGCAGAAGAATCACAAGTTCCAGGAACCCGACTCAATTTCTTCCCCTAGAAGTGGGCTGTGGGGACACTGGACTCCTGGAGTCAAGTTGGCACGGTTTAGGTACATCAGATAACAGTCTGGTGTCGCATTTGTATGTAACCCTCAAACACCCTGCTTTACACATTAAATCCAAATCCATTATGTCTAACTCAACTAGCATGTGTGGCAGCTCCAGCCAGTAGCTTTAACAAGTGGAGACAAACGGTAACTCCACCAGCCTGGTCTCAAAAAGCCCGAGGTAAAGGAGTCATTTAAACCAGGTGGTGATGGTGGCTGCAGCAGCATAGCCTTTAATCCCAGCACCAGGGAGGCCAGCCTGGTCTACAGAACAGCCAAGGTTACAGAGAAACCCTCAGTGTGTGTGACCAAGTTAATAGCCCCAGAGGTACCTGGGATGGACTGGAAGGTTGAAAATGACGCATGAGGGCCAATTCACGGGTATTAACTAATATGGCCCAAGCAGCTCTGAACTCCACAAGTCTCCACTGAATGCTAGCATTAGAGGTATGTCTAACCAGTTTTAACTGTCTCCCCGCCCCCAACCCCCACCCCTGGAGAGTGGTCCCCGGCACCAAAAGAAAAAACTGCTGGGTGTGCCACATGTAGTTTCAGGGATTGGAAAGGCAGAGGTAGAATCAGTCACCTAGTTGGGGCAGCCTGGGCAAATTAAGGAACACTTAATAAGCTAGGGACAAAGCTCAGGGTAGAGCATTTGCCCAGTGCCTAGGGTCACGTTCAATCAAACGCAAAAAGAGCCAACGTGAAGACATGGCCGGGACTGACAGGATGGGAGTTTTCTTACCAGAATTAAGACAAAGGGATTAAGTGTTCTGACATCCTCATGGGCCCCACGCCTCCACCAGCAGCTTTACCTAACCCTGAATGAGCACGCCTCACACCTTTTTTCCAATTCCCATTTATTTTTGGCTCTTGGGGCAATGTCATCTTTTCAATATGAAAAAAAGCAGCCAAGTTCAACACAAAATAGAAGGGTAGGGTAGGACCAAACCAGGAAGAAAATGGCAGAAGTAAAGATGTCACCTTCCCTCTGGGGAAGGTCCCAGACACCCAGGTGGCAGCACACCCTCCCAAGTTTGGAGGTTAAGTGGACTGGGCAGTTTCTGGACACTCAGAGACCAAGGCTCTGCTCCGGCCTCACTCCCACCTCTCAGAGAAAGGAGGAATACAGGGAGGTCACCTCCAATGGCAGATCTGGCTCAGGACAGCTGGGAGGCTATAAATGGAGATAATACTGTTAATACCTCTCCTGAGGCTGAGAGATGAAGCAGAGGGGGAAACCTGTTGATTGAAAAAGCCTCAGTGGATTCCCCTATGTAAATGGCCGTGATTGGAAAATCCCACCCCTCCTCTTCCTAGTGACCTCTACCGGATACCACCCTTCCCCTTCTCTGATCCACTACTTAGCTTTAGGATGGTGGCCACTATCTGGGTTTTTAGTAATGGGCTGGATCAGGATCTGGAGCAGAACTCAGGTTCCTGGAGAATGTATTAGAAAAATATTGACAGTTATGAGAAATGGGTACCAGAAGGAAATACAGGGCAACACTCAGAATGGCAGAAATCTAGGTTTGTCAGAGTGGAAAGAGAAAGGAGACATTCCACAAACAAATATTTATTGAGCGCCTACTGTGTGCCAGGCACTGTTCACCCTCCCCCAGTGAAAAAACAAGAACAGGACAGAGGCAGCAGAAAGAAAACTCTGAAGGAGAAAAACGGGTAGCTGAAGAAAGCTGAGGGAGCTAAGCAGCCTGAGGTGACGCAGGGCTCTGCCTTAGGCCTCTTCTTCTGCCTCCTCCCCGAAATCCTCTTCCTCCTCTGCAGTGGCATCCTGGTACTGCTGATACTCGGAGACGAGGTCATTCATGTTGCTCTCGGCTTCGGTGAACTCCATCTCGTCCATGCCCTCACCTGTGTACCAGTGGAGGAAGGCCTTCCGGCGGAACATGGCTGTGAACTGCTCTGAGATGCGCTTGAAGAGCTCCTGGATGGCTGTGCTGTTTCCAATGAAGGTGACTGCCATCTTGAGGCCACGTGGTGGGATGTCACAGACAGCCGTCTTGACATTGTTGGGGATCCATTCCACAAAGTAGCTGCTATTCTTATTCTGCACATTGAGCATCTGCTCATCTACCTCCTTCATGGACATCCGCCCACGGAAGACAGCTGCGACAGTGAGGTATCGGCCGTGGCGGGGGTCACAAGCAGCCATCATATTCTTGGCATCGAAGACCTGCTGGGTGAGTTCAGGCACAGTGAGGGCCCGATACTGCTGGCTTCCACGGCTGGTGAGTGGAGCAAAGCCAGGCATGAAGAAGTGGAGACGTGGGAAGGGCACCATGTTGACAGCCAGCTTTCGGAGGTCGGCGTTGAGCTGGCCTGGGAAGCGGAGGCAGGTGGTCACCCCGCTCATGGTGGCTGAGACGAGGTGGTTCAGGTCTCCATAGGTCGGCGTGGTGAGCTTGAGGGTGCGGAAGCAGATGTCATAGAGGGCCTCGTTGTCGATACAGTAGGTCTCATCAGTGTTCTCAACCAGCTGATGGACAGAGAGGGTGGCGTTGTAGGGCTCGACCACGGTGTCAGACACTTTGGGCGAGGGTACCACACTGAAGGTGTTCATGATGCGGTCAGGATACTCTTCTCGGATCTTGCTGATGAGCAGGGTGCCCATGCCAGAACCGGTACCTCCCCCCAGCGAGTGGGTCAGCTGAAAGCCTTGCAGGCAGTCACAGCTCTCCGCCTCCTTCCGAACCACATCCAGGACAGAGTCAACCAGCTCGGCTCCCTCTGTGTAGTGACCCTTAGCCCAGTTGTTGCCTGCTCCAGACTGACCTGTCATGTGGTCAGAAAAAAAAATTAGAAAGCTTAGTCACTAAGATACAGGAGAGACATTATTATTACTAATCTTTCAACTTTTGAAAAAATCCCCTTGGGAACATGGGAATTCATTTCATGTAACTCACCAAAAACAAAGTTGTCTGGTCTGAAGATCTGGCCAAAAGGACCTGATCGAACGGAGTCCATGGTCCCGGGTTCTAGATCCACCAAGATAGCTCGGGGGACGTACTTGCCACCTACAGGGATCAAGCAGATGTTTGAGAGCCCTCTGCAATGAAGATCAAATTTGAGGTGGGAAATGCCCAAACCACTAAACTTGTCATTCCAGGCGCTGCCACCTGGCGGCAGTACAGCTAATCTTTGGCCCCTTACGGTGGGTGTCTAAAGGGAAAGGATGAGATTCATGCAAAGGGGTTAACAGGTACTTAATGTGGGAAAACAGGGCGTGGTGATGCCGCCTTTAAATCCAGCAATCGGGAGGTGGACCTTTGTAGGTTCCGGCCAGCCAGTGATGCATAAGACCCTGCCTCGATTGGAGAATTGTTAACAGGGAAAAAGAATCGGGATTTCTGCCCTCACCTGTGGCTTCATTGTAGTACACAGAGATTCGGTCCAGCTGCAGGTCGCTGTCTCCGTGGTAGGTACCGGTAGGGTCGATGCCGTGTTCATCGCTTATCACCTCCCAGAACTGCATAGGGAAGAGCAATGAGCCCTCAATAGCCCAAGTCCTAAGGGATGGCTATCCGCCGGCATTTCAATTCTAGACATGCTCAAACGAAGCTGAGGTGTAGATACTGCAGTTCCGTTATCTGCCCGCCGAACCTCCAATAAGGTCACCACCTTTGTGGCTAGGATAAGCGATGGGCACAGTTCAAGGGGATGGGGTTTGCAAGCACCCATATGGGCGGACTGGACTGCCACCCGCCCACTTGGCTCAGCACCCAGCCAAGCGCTTCAAGATGGGCACCGCCCCTCCAGGCCAGCACAAAAGAGGGTTGGGGGAGAAAGGTGCGGCCACTGCAGTCGCCCACCCCTTACGCGCGTTCCACGTGACTGCGGTGGCGGGCCGCTCTTCCAGCAGCCCACAAAGGCGGGAGCAGCGTGGGCGGGGCCTGGCACGAGGGGCGGGGCCAGTGCGCCCCCGCGGGCTAGGGCTGCATTGTCCCTGCGCGGCAGGGGCGCTAGCCCCGCCTCCGAAGGGTCCCACCCTTCGGCTACAATTTAGCGGCCGCACTTCCTCCTCCCCACCCCTCCCCCGCTACATTGTAATTGCGCGCAAAAAAAAAAAAAAAAAAAAAAAAACCATGGCCTGAGATTTTTATTCCTTTGCTAGCTTCCCTCTCCTAAATAGTCTCTCTCACACACACTTAGTCCCGAAGGACCTCTTATAGACGCGCAAACCTCTCACTTTCCCATCAGTTCACACCCTGAGATTTAAAGGTAATGAAAAGTAAAAGTAGCCCCCTCCACAGAATCATTATCTACCTAAAAGCTGAAACAAGCCTGGGGATGGCGAGTGCTCAAGGGTCTCCAAGCCTTTGTTGAGAGGTAATGCGCACCCGGAGCACGTCGTACGGACCTGTGCAGCTGCCCGCCCAACCTCTCCCCTTCCCCCTCCAGTCCTGCTCCACTAAGGCCCTCCAGGCGGGGTGGGGGTAGGGGTGCCGCAAGGGGAAAACCTCGCTTCGGCTTTGTCTCCGCTCGTTTCCGCATCTCTCCTCTCCAGTTCTCGAACCGTTAGAAAACCCCAGTTGAAAGAGGCACTTAACAGTTCCTCAGACTCTCTGTCCCCTAAATCCAAGTCTTTTTAATGGTTTTCCGAAAATGTGCCAAGAAAAATATTTCTCCATTTCTCAGTATCAGAATGCTAGCTACAAATATGGGTTATATTTATACGTGCTAAACTTTGAGGGCCCAAAGCTGACGGATGGAGAATGCAAAAACCCGGTAACAGTCCTCATGACTAACCTGGATTTTCATCCTCACCTATTTCAGCTAAAATTCTAAAATTCTTACCTTAGCACCGATCTGGTTGCCACACTGTCCAGCCTGGATGTGCACGATTTCCCTCATGGCTTCAAGGTAGGTACCGAGCAAGAAAAGATAATTTTTTTTCTTTCTGGGCTGGTCTCAGGCTGAAGGGATGGAACGTGGCCCCGGAGGCTGCAGCAGCGAGATGCGAGCACGACCGCAGGAAGGTTCTAAGAGGCAGAAGAGGCCGGCGAGCGCAGGAGGGAAGGCGCGCAGGGCGGGGCGCGCGTTCGCGCGGCCGGGGGCGGGAGATAGGCGGGAGCCCCTGGTCGCAGACAAAGCCTCTCCAGCCTGGCGCTGATTAGACCAGTCGATCACGTGCCAGGCGACCATTGGTCTATGAGCCAGCGGCGAGCGCAATCCTTTTTGGGAGTTGTAGTTCTCTATTGTCCACGCTGCAAAATGAAGTTAGGCATGGGTGGGTACTGTGGGAGGTTTAGTGGGTATCTTGCGTATGGGTGTGATTGTATTTATTTTTTAATGGAAAATGACTTCTCATGAGATTCCTATCCTTTATTCCTGAGGGAGGTTTTTGTGCTAAGAAGTTTTGGGAAATATAGCAATTGGGAGGTCTGAGGTTCCCTGAACTGGGAGGTGGGATAGGCACGCCCTGCAAGCTGCTCGCCTCAGTAGCTCTGGTGAGGGCAGACTGCATAGCTCAGCGGAAAGTCCGAGAAATGTGGCCCTGATACATACTATCTAGTTCTTTGTGGTCCCAAGACAGGAACTTCAGTAAGCACCACTCCCTCGCATCCCCTCCTGTTTCTAAGGGAGTTGTCCCAAGGATGTTTCGAAAGAGAAACAAAATTGCAAGGACTTTTCGGACTAGAAATGTTGCATGGGACAGACGTTCATAAAGAGTGAAGCTGTAATCTCTTCGGGGGCCGTAGGAGGACGGGACGGGGCGGGGGGTGGGAGTGGGGGGGCCTTTAGGACGACACAGAAGACATCCTGGTCATCTTGTCAATACAGACTGTGAAATGGGATGCCTAAAAGAATGTCAGCGTCTTCTAATGCCTCTCTCAGACACTCGGATCAAGCCAAGAGGTCTTCTTTCAGTTGGTTGATTTTATTCACTAGATGAGGCTGTGGCAGTTGATTTTATTCATGAGGTGAAACTGTGTTAAGAGTCCTGGAACTGTGGAAGAGGGGAGAGGGGAGTTGAATGGCCTCGTCAGAGCCGTTAAGCTTCTTCCCAGGGTTTCATTCCATAGAAACTAAGTACCCTAAAAAGTGTAAAATGATACAAAATGATTAATTAGAGTCAGAGTATGGGGGTTCACACCGTTAATACCAGCATTCTAAGGCAGAAGGATCTCAGGAAATTCAAGGTCAACCTGGGCTACTTAAGAGAGTTCCTGCCCAGCTGGAGGTACAGCTTTAGACCCAGTCTCAAAATAAATAAACAGGAAAAATTAGCTTGTGCCCAACCTCCCAAACACTAGGGAGAAGGATTCTTGTACGTTGAAGGCTAGCTAACCTGGGCTACAAAATGAGAGCCTGTCTTGGAAACAAAACATCCATGGGGCTGGAGAGATGGATCAGCAATTAAGAGCATTTTCTGTTCCGGAACAAGACCCAGGTTCAATTCCCATCATCCACATAGATGCTCTCAACTATCCACAAGTCCAGTTCCAGGGGACCCAACACCCCATTCTGTCTTCTGCTGGCACATGGCACACAAATACTGAACAGACAGATATCCAAGCAAAATACTAATACACATAAATAAATACCTCTTTAAGAGAGAAAACAAAGGAAGGGGTGTGGTAAGCAGTATCAGGAATGAGATCATGTAAGACAAGTGTAGTGGCCCAGACAAGGCAGGAAGATCGGTGAGTTCAAGGCTAACTTGGTCTGTTAGTTCTAGGCCAGCCAGAGGTACATCATGAGACCCTTTCTCTATCAGAAAAAAAATTGTTAACATTTAATCAATACACAGCTCAAGTCATCTTTTAAATATAAGAACATTAAATAGCATTAATACCCCTTTATTCACTAAAAATACAATGCTTTAATTTTGGACATGCTAACAATGAAACCGATTATTTTTGTGTTACTTGAATTTGAATTTGTTCCATTAACAGTAGGAACATGGGGAAAGAATCCAATTAAAAGTTTCAAATGTCGCTGGGCAGTGGTGATACACGCCTTTAATCTCAGCACTCGGGAGACAGAGGCAGGCAGATCTCTATGAGTTCGAGGCCAGCCTGGACTGCAGAGTAAGTTCAAGGAAACGCACAAACCTCACAGAGAAACCCTGTCTCGAAAAGCCGAAAAAAAAATTTTTTTTTTAAATGCCTGCCGATTTCTTTATGGTGAACATACAGAGATAACCAATGGGGAAAAAACTCCAAATGATCCAAGCCAATTTCTACTATGCTTTCATGTTTTGTTATGATAATGAAATAAACCATTTTATCATATCTTTCCCGTCTTTTGAAAGATGAGAGACCTTGAGGTTTTAACGAAACAGTTTGCCTACCCACGTTTGTTTTATTTAGAATCTTCCATTTAGGAAGGTGACCTCAAAATGTCCGTCATTTTATACATATATATTTTTTTTTTTACTAAGCAGTCCAAATCAAAAGGAAATGAAATCCCTCTGCAACGGGGAGTTCTAAAGCGCCACGCCTACGGGCAGTTTTCCAATCTGCAACCTCCAGCCACGACTGCAGCCTGCAACCCCTCATTTCCCGGGACTCGGCTAGCGCCATTTCTGGGACGACCGAGAAGGGCGCTCTGGCCTTGGAACGACATCTATGGTATGGCCCTTCTACCCGCCGCCGGCAACTGGCGCCAGACTCTCTGGTAGGCGTTTGGAAATCTGCGCGGGAAGTGTACGGTGGAGGACGTAGCGGCGGTGGGTTGGCCCAGGGCGCTACCCAATGGCGGAGCCGGCTTCTCAGGCCACGCCCCCTGCCCGTCGGCAGCGCTTCCTTCAGCTTGTTTCCCGCCGGTAGCCACACTTTTGAGCTGTGAGGGGGCGGGGGGGCGGGGCTTCCGACGTGGGATTTGAATCAATCGGCGCGCCCCGAGTTGTAAAAGACAGCTGCAGTATCCAATCAGCCCGCCGGCTCTCTTCCGGCATTCGCATTCCCGCCACCCTGCTGGCGGCCGTTACTGCCGGCGCGCGCGCGGGGACTCAGTAGGTGAGTTCGGCCGCCCGCGCCCTGGTTACCGTCTTGATTCCTCGTGAGGGCCCGAGGGGCGTGCCTTGGGTGTCACTGGGCGGAGGTAACCTGGGTTCCCGTTTTAGATCCCTATGCTAATTATGGCCCGGGTGTAGCTTTGACGACACGGAACCTTTAGGCCACCAGGGAACAAACTCAAGCGCGGGTCAAAGATGGTTGCTCTTCAATTGGAGCGAGGGTCGTAGGCGTCGGCTGGGTTGACAGGACCGAGTTTTCCTTCTTGGGGTACCCTACCTTCCCTGTCAACGGTTTCCCCGTGTGTGACATCTTTATAGGTAAAATTACCCATGCAATTTTGAATTTTTGCTTTTAATTTGCTCCTTGGTCAGTAGCTCTGGCGATGTGGCTCCCATGAGAGCAGGATTTATTTTGGTTGATGATGTATGTGCCAAATACCGCGAAAGGTACCAGGTGCTCATAATCACTGTAAATAAGACGGACCCCGGTGTGGGGGTGGGGAGATGTAGATGTAGTTCCACGGGTACCAGTCTGGAGGGAGATATGAAAGAAATAAGGTTCAGATCATGAAAGGTCTTGCCAAGGAGTTACATTAGGAGTGATCTTAGGCAAGATCCTTAAAACCCGTCTATGTTGTATTTTCCTCATCTGAAAAAAAAAAAAAAAGTTATACCTACCGAGTTCTTCGGAAGAATAAATGACTCAGCCACCTTAAAGAATTAAAACAGTTTGACCCGGGCGGTAGTGGCTCACGCCTTCAGTCCCAGCACTCCGAGGCAGAGGCAGGCGGATCTCTGAGTTCCAGGTCAGCCTGGCCTACAGAGTGAGTTCCAGGACAGCTAGGGCTACAGAGAAAAACCCTGTCTTGGGAAAAAAAAAAGGTATTAAAACAGTTCTTAACATATATAAGCCTCTTTATATGTTAGCGTCTATGGTTCTTTGCATTTCAAGCTAAGGAATACTGACAAGAGTGTATAAAATACACTTTGTGATCCATATATTTCTATGTACATGCTGTGTTATTCTGAGCAAATTACTTTTTGGAAGCATTATTTCCTTGTCTCATATGGCTGTTATGCCTCATACAACACAGTACTCAATAGTGGATGGTAAAACCAAGTAGGGAGTGGTAAGTGGGCATTTAAAAACTAGAGCATTGCTGGGCAATGGTGGCAGACGTGAGTTCTAGGACAGCTAGAGTTACACAGAGAAACGCTGTCTCAAAACAACAACAAACCTATGTACAAGGCCCTGAGTTTGATCCTCAGTAGTTCTCTGTGTGTCAGAGGTTAGAAAACAATAGAAAAAACAGTATGTTTCATATAGCAATTTCTCATCACCCACACCTACACACAGGTGAGGTCTGGTTCTAAGGAGGGTGTCAGATCCCCTGGAAATTGAGTTATAAACTGCCGAGAGCTATGTGGGTTCTGGGAACTGAACCCATGTTCTCTTGAAGAATGCAGTGCTCTTAACCACTGAGCCATCCCTTCAACTGCTAAACTTGCTGTTTTTTTAAGGGGTCTTAATATGTTGTCCGAACTTACCTGGAACTCCGGGACTCAAGCAGTTGCCCTACTTCAGCTTCCTCAGTAGCTAGAACTGCAGACATATGCCATCTAGATCCAGTTTATCATGCTTTTATAGACTTTAAATAAAAGTGCCCATTTGGGTCTGGGAATATAGCTCAGTGGTAGAGCATTTGCCTTGTGAGAGGCCCTAGGTTTAGTCTCCAGAACCTAAGATTCCATAAAATATCCCTTTGTAGATACTGGTGTATTTGGACCTTAGTTCTTTGTCATGGCCAAAAGTATAAATATGCATGTGTAAATTATTTGTTTTGTTTTGGGGGGCAAGGTCTTACTGTAACCAAGGCTGGTTTCCACATACTTTTTTTTTTTTTTTTGAGACAGGATCTAACTATGTAGCTCTAACTGGCCTGGAACATACTACATACACCAGACTGGCCTTGAACTCACAGAGCTCTGACTACCTCTGCCTCACAAGTGCTATAATCAAAGGTATGTATGACCATGCCTGGCTAGGTCTCCAAGTCTTAATCTTCCTGCCTTGGCACCTCAGGTGCTGGAATTACAGATATATGCCAACATTTGAATCAAAAAAGATTTTTGTTTTGTTTTTAGACAGGGTTTCTCTGTATAGCCCTGGCTGTCCTGGAACCCACTGTATAGACCAAACTGGGCTCGAACTTGGAGATCTGCCTATCTGCATCCCAGGTGCTGGGATTAAAGGTGTGTGCCACCACCACTTGGTCCTCTTTTTCCATTGGTAGTACTAAGTGTTGAACATATGGCCTCACACAGGCTATCCAAACATTCTACCACAGACATATTCTTATATGCCCCCTCCCCAATATTTTTACATGCTTCAGAATGACTGATAGAAAAGCATCACCTCAGCTAGGCAGTGGTGGCGCATGCCTCTAATCCCAGCACTTGGGAGGCAGAGCCAGGCGGATCTCTGTGAGTTCGAGGCCAGCCTGGTCTACAGAGTGAGTTCCAGGACAGCCCTACATAGAGAAACCCTGTCTGGGAAAAAACAAAGAAAGAAAGAAAAGCATCACCTCCACGTTTATCCAGGTTTACCTCCAGTTATTTTTTTCTCTACAAATGTGTATAAACCAATGACAGGAACAATAATAATGTGTTTCCTTCACAGATCATGGAAAACACCCAGGTTATTAACTGGGATGCTGAAGAAGAAGAGGAGACAGAAATATCCAGTGGGTCCTTGGGGTATAGCTTGGAGCCTATAGGGCGACTACGTCTCTTCAGTAGTACTCATGGACCAGAAAGAGGTCAGAGGATATTGGGAGCTGAAGTATGAATATGGGTCTTTTCTTTTCCTTAGAGGTAGTTGGAATGTCGGTAGACCCTTGTATATGTTTCAAAGGGGATATGAATAATTGTTCTGCTAGGAATGGCAAAGAGGCCATCTGAGTTGATTGTTCCGGGCTGGTGCCCTATATTTTCTAGGAGTGATTTTCTTTTAGGAGAAAAAGAAGAGCTACAAATAAACATGCAATATGGGAGCCAGGCGGTAGTGGTGGCACACGCCTTTAATCCCAGCACTCAGGAGGAAGAGGCAGGCGGATCTCTGTGAATTTGAGGCCAGTCCGGTCTACAGAGTGAGTTCCAGAACATGCTCCAAAAGCTACACAGAGAAACCCTGTCTCAAGAAACCAAAGAAGAAAAAAAGGAAAAAATAATTCTTTTTGTTTTTCAAGATAGGGTTTTTCTGTGTAGCCCAGGCTGTCCTAGAACTCCAAGAAATCCGCCTGCCTCTGCCTCATCCTGAGTGTTGAGATTAAAGGCTTGCACCATCAACGCCAGGCATAACTTTTTTTTTTCCTGTTTGTTTTTGTTTGATTTTTGAGACAGGGTTTCTCTGTGTAGCCCTAGCTGTCCTGAAACTCTCTCTGTAGACCAGGCTGGCCTCAAACTCACAGAGATCTGCCTGGCTCTGCGAGTGCTGGGGTTAAAGGCATGCACCACTGCCGCCCGGCCAGGCATAAAATTTTTTAAAGAATTAAAATACACCGTGGCCTAGGAATGGGTGCTGGTGATTGTGGAAGGACAATAGATATGCAATACAACTGAATAGTATACTTACAATGATTGAGGTGGTTAGATTTGTAGTGTGTGTATTTTTTGTTTTTATTTTTCCTTCAAGACAGGGTCTCTATAATAGCCCTTGCTGTCCTGGGACTCACCATGCAGACCGGCCTCAAACTCAGAGATCCACTTGCCTCTGCCTCTCAAATGCTAGAATTAAGGGCATGTGCCACTACGTCCAGCCTGTATTGTGTATTTTATTACAACAGAAAACACCCATTGGGCATGGTGGTGCATGTCTGTGATCCTTGTACGCAGGAGGTGAATCTAGAGTTTGAGGATAACCTAGGCCACATAGCATATTTGAAAACAATCTGGGCTACATAGTGAGACCCTGGATCAAAAACAAAACAAGGGCTGTAGCTCAGGGGAAGAGTGCTTAGCAAGCCTGCATGAATCTGTTTTCAAGTTTGAGAATTGGAAAAACAATAATAGTGTGAGTAAATAGAGTATTTTGCAGGTGAGTAAATGCTCTTCTATGCTGGCATGCTGGTTGTTTTTTAATGCCTGTAAGAACTTTGAATAGTAGCGTACCATTTTCAGGCCAAGACTCTGACCTTACTCCTCAATATTTCTTCTCTGTCCTTAGATTTCCCACTCTACCTTGGCAAGAATGTAATTGGCCGAAGCCCTGACTGTTCTGTGGCCCTGCCTTTTCCATCCATCTCTAAACAGCATGCAGTGATTGAAATCTCAGCTTGCAACAAAGCCCCTATTCTCCAGGATTGTGGGAGCCTCAATGGCACTCAACTTGTAAAGCCCCCTAAGGTCCTGACCCCTGGAGTAAGCCATCGTCTGAGGGACCGGGAATTAATTCTGTTTGCAGACTTTCCCTGCCAATACCATCGCTTGGATGTCCCTCCACCTTTGGTCTCTCGGGGACTTCTAACTATAGAGAAGACTCCCAGAATACAGGGAGGATCCCAAACCTCTAGAGTTTTGTTGGCTGAGGATTCAGAGGAGGAAATGGGTAAGTTTGGCCTTGGGTGTGTGTGTAAAGAGACAGGGATGAGGATGTAAACTGTCGATTTAACTCCTTCCTGTTCTTGCCAGATTTTCCGACTGGAAGGTGTGTGGCAAATGGATCAAGGAATACAACGTCCCCCTCAGCAACAGTAGTTCCAGAAAGGTAAGTACCAAAGTACCAGGTACCCGAATTGTTCCTTTTTTTTTTCGGAGTCTCTGTAGCCCAAGCTGGTCTTAGACTCATGGCAATCCTCTGGGTGCAGTCTCTGAGTATTGGGCTTACAGGGTTGAGCTACCTCACCCGGTTTTAGACACCTGCGCCTTTGAATATGGAGGTAAAGTGTCAGTCTTGAAGAGATGAAAGGTGGAACTGAGAGCCTTGGCATAATCATTTCCTGAGCTGAATTAAATGACGATGAGCACCGGTGTACTCAGTGGAGATGGGGAAAGAGCCGCCACTAGTGCCTGCTCTCAAGGCGCTCCTGGCTGAGTGGGGTGGTCCTGTCCAGGAAGTCGTTGTTAGGAATTTCTGTCTTTGCAGTGATGAGGAGGGGTCTTCTCCAGCCCCGAGTGTCCCCAGGCCGTCTCTGCCCTTGGACTTGGGCAGTGACACAGATGAAGAACAAGGTCAGCAACCGGCAGTGGGGGGGTCCTCTTCTGCTGCCAGGAATGGCATCCGGCTGGTACAGGCTCAGCCTGCTGAGCAGAAGTTCAAGGACCCAAAAGTCACGAGTGGAGCAGGCAGTGGAGCGGCTCTGGCTGGGCCGGTTGTGGAGAAGAGCCCCACTCCTGGGGAGGACAGTGATACAGAAGTGGATGAAGAGCACCAGCCTTCTGTGGACAGTGATACAGATATGGAGGAAGAGAGGATCCCTGTGACCCCACCTGTAGTTCCTGGGGGGAAGAAGAAGAAGAAGAAGCGAGTCCTGCTTGGAGTTGGTACAAAGGATCCTGGAGCACCTGGAGCAGCACATCTGCAGGACAGCCCAGCTGGTAGTGACACAGATGTGGAGGAGGGCAAGATGCCACTGGCTGTCCCTCAAGAGAGAAACCACACATCCATGGTGATCGACAGCGATACAGATGAGGAGGATGAAGTCTCTGCAGCATTCACCTTGGCCCATCTGAAAGAGAGAGGAATTACTTTGTGGAGCAGAGACCCAGGCATGGAAGAGGTCAAGTCCCAACCACAGGTCCTTGTAGAACGAAGCCAGAGTGCCTCTGGGAGAGACAGTGACACCGACGTGGAGGAGGGAAAGAGAGAGATGGTCCCTGACAGCCCCATGGACCTAGAAGAAGCTCTTATTGTCACACATTCAGAGAACCAGCCTCCCCATAGACCCGGTGATGTAGATGAGGATGTGGATATGAGTTCCCCTGGTGGCCATCTAGAGGGAAATCAGGCCTTCTCTGCCACAGTAGACAACAATGGTGCACAAGAGGAGGAGGAAATCCTGCCAGAGCCAGCTGTTACCCTGGGGGAGAAGCACCAGCTGCCTCCAGAGGAAGCCCAGCCTCCTGAGGAGGACTGGGAAACAGCTGTGGAGGAAGGCTCATCTTCAGCAGTGGCAGATGTGAGAAAGAGCCAGCAGCCAGTAGCAGAAGATACTGGGACAGAGTGGGCTGCGTCTGGTTCTGAGCAGGAGAGCACTCTGGAGGTGGGGACCCAAAGCAGGCCACCTGCTACACCGGTGGAGCAGGTGATGGTGTGTACAGGTACTCCAGGGGGTCCCACCCAGCCACAGAGAAAGGAAGCCCAGACCCCCACAGGAAGGGAGAAAGGAGCACAAATGGACAGGACCCAGAATGCCAAAGACTGTTGTGATGGTAAGTGCTGCCCTCTGCTCTGCCCTTGACCTTTGAAATAAACTGGCTATAAGGGTTAGGAGAGAACTGTAGAAGTCTTGAGGATATTTGTCTCATCTCTTCCCACCAGAATCTGAAGATCTGTGTCTTCCAGCTACCCAGTGCTTTGTAAAAAGGGAGAGCCAGAGCTCAGAAGGTGAGGATATTGTGTTGTTTGGATATTTTTTTTTTTTTTTGGTTTTTTTTTGGTTTTTTGAGACAGGGTTTCTCTTTGTAGCTTTGGTGCCTGTCCTGGATCTTGCTCTGTAGACCAGGCTGGCCTCGAACTCACAGAGATTCACCTGGCTCTGCCTCCCGAGTGCTGGCATTAAAGGCTTGTGCCACCCCCGCCTGGCCCAGTGTTGTTTGGATTTGAGTACCAGTAAGAGCCGGGTGATTAGACTGGTGGTCCTTGAAAGATGGTGTGGCCAAGATGGGGAATGGGACTCTGGCATTCTGGGAGGAACTATGCTCCAGCCATCTTTTCTTCTGCAGCTGTCCAGAGTTTGGAAGATGAGCCTACCCAGGTCTTCTCATGTATTCTTCCCCAAGAGCCTGGACCTTCCCGTGCTAGTCTTCAGACTCCAGGTACAAGAAAGTCTCTTTAAGCCCCCAACTTTGCATCCTTTCTTGTTTTCTTCCTCTACATCCTTTCATATTCTGTCCTATTTTAATCTATTTTTATATGTATGAGTGTTTTGCCTGCATGTATTTATGTTCACCATGTGCATGCCTGGTGCCCACAGAGGTCAGGAGAGGATTCTTTCCCCTGGAACTGGAGATATTATGAACTGTTGTGAGCCACCATGTGGGTTCCCAGAACTGAACCCAGGTCCTCTGCGAGAACAACCAGCGCTGTTAACTGCTGAGCCATCTCTCCAGCCCTCATGTTCTTTGTTGTCTGTCTGTCTGTTTGGGGACATGAGCTCATGTAGCTGAGAATGACCTTGAACTTCTGGTCCTCCAAGTGCTGGGATTATAGTTGTGTGCCACCACATCCAGCTAGGGATGGACCAGGGCTTCATGAATGCTAGATGAGCTCTCTACCAACTGAGCTGTATCTTCAGCCCCACCTTTCATGTTCTTTTGCTATTTTACTAATGTCCTCCATTTCATCAGAAAAGAACTCTGTACCAGACATGGTAACACACACTTGGGAGGCAAAAGTAGGCGCTCAGGGCCGACCTGGACTATGTGAGACCTTGTCTCAAAAAAACCAAGATGGGCCGGGCGGTGGTGGCACACACCTTTAGTCCCAGCACTTGGGAGGCAGAGCCAGGCGGATCTCTGTGAGTTCAAGGCCAGCCTGGTCTACAGAGCAAGATCTAGGAAAGGCGCAAAGCTACACAGAGAAACCCTGTCTTGAAAAAAAAAAAATCAAGATGGAGCTGGGCAGTGGTGGAGCATGACTTTAATCCCAGCACTCTGGAGGCGGAGGCAGGCGGATCTCTGTGAGTTTGAGGCCAGCCTGGTCTACAGAGTGAGATCTAGGAAAGGAACAAAGCTACACAGAGAAACCCTGTCTCGAAAAACCAAAAAAAAAAGTCTTAAAAGATAAGACAACAAATAAAAGCATATTTCTGGGCCTTACCCTGATTGTAGTTCAGGAGATTGGGGATTGGCCCACAGAATTTTTTTCCCTCTGCATGCTGCAGGCTGAACTCAGGGCTTTATGCATGCCAGGTAAGTACTGTCCTCACCCACATACCCAGTCCTTATTTTTCAGATGAGGCTCCTGAGGGAGCCTGTGTGAGAGAGTGTCATCTTCTACATAGCATTCAGTGTTATAACTGCCACCCTTATTCCCAGTCTGCCTTTAGTAACCCATTTAGCCATGTGTGAGTCTGCCCTAGTTCTTAGCCTTATTGCCTTTTTTACCTGCCTGCCTGTCTACTTTTTCTGATTCCCTTTAGGTCCTGGTGCCCTGGATGTGCCATGGGAAGTCTTGGCTACACAGCCGTTTTGTCTGAGAGAACCTGAGGCCTCTGAACCCCGGATCATTGCCACCCACCTCGAAGCTCAGGGATCTAGTCCATCTCCAACTAGTGCACCACCAGGACACCAGCATCTGGTTCACAAGGAGCTCTTGGGACTTGAAGGCAGAGAGATACAGACTGTGGAGAAAGCCATGGGTATACCAAAGGAAACAGCAGGCAGCGTGACCTCTGAGAGAGAGCCGCTGGAAAGGACACCAAACAGTGGGAGAGAAGTCGTGATGGAGGAAGAAGAGCTAACTCAGGGGAAAGAGGACAGAGAGCCAGAGAAGGGCTTAGCTAGAGACAGGCAGGGACAAGAGTCTGACAAGGTGAAGGGTAGGGGTCGTGAAGGGAGTGGAGAGAGTTCGAAGGTAGAAACTGAGATGTCCAAAGACACACCGAAGAGAGAGAGAGAAGTAGGGAACCCTGAACCGGAGAGAGAGTGGGAGCCAGCTGGTTCAGAAGTGACCCTAGACAGCGGGTTAACAGAGGGAGGAAGCCATGATCAGACAGAGCAGATTGCTGATTTAACACTAAAGCCTGGATTTGGCATGGGGGACCTTGAGGAACTTGCATCAGCCCTGGTAGTCTCTGGGAGCCAGGGAGATGGAGGAAAGGGAGACCCTGTGAGCCCCGGGAGGCAGCAGAGAGGTAAGTGAGGGCAGAGGGGACCAGCGTGCTAAGAGTCCTCATGGCAATTAGTCCCTGAACTGTAGGCTGCACAGCACTCAGCCACTCCTGTTTTATTCTCTGACTAGGCCACTTGAGTTTCGGGATGACATCTGCTGAAAAGGCCTCCGAGGTAAGCTGCTTTTTGTCCTGCCCCTCCTTCACTGGTTGCCCCCATCCCTGGCAGCCCCTTTGCTCAGCCGGCCTCCACTCCATACCTTTGTCTATACTTCCTGTTTTCTCACTGCGTACATTTGTGCGTGTTTGTGAGGGCATGTGTTTGGGGGAGTTTCATGAGGAAGCCAAGTTGTTTTTCAGGAACCACCCAACTTTTTGGAAGGGTGAGGGTCAGGATCTCGAGCTGGCTTAGAATTTGCTAAAGTAGACTGGGCTGCTTGGCCAGCAAGCTCTGGGGACCATCCTGTCTCTACCTGCCTAGCACTGGGATTACAAGCATATGTCAACTGTACCTGGCTTTTTTACATGGGTTCTGGAGATCAAATTCAGATCCTAGTTGCTTGCCTTGCCTACTGAACTGTCTCCCATGTTCCCAGTTTTCCTCCTTGTCACTCATTCCTGGGTCCTGCCACCCGCTGTTCCCCAGTGGTAGTTCCCTTTATTGACTTTTGGTACTGCTTCCTTCTTTGCCCACCATGCTTTAGTTACTGTGTAAACCCTAGTGCAGAACACTGTACTGGAGTTATAAAGAGAGATCCCTTGTGGTATCCAAAAGATTGCTTCCTCTCCCAGGGAGTTCCTAGCCTGAAGAGAGGTCACAGAAAGGAAAGTGCCAGTGAGCATGGTCATAAATAGAATCAAAGCCAGATATCCTAATGGGCCTGTCATCCCAGCACTTGGCAGTAAAGGTGGAAGAGTAGTGGAGGACACTGTGATCATATGAGGCCCTTCTTCAGAAACACTGAGAAAGATCAAGATCCATGCCCACCTCTTATCACTCGCCTCTCCTCCTCAGGGTGATCCAGAACCCCCAGCCCATGGCCTGCTTTCTCCGGTGCCTGAAGCTTCAGCTCCACCTCAAAGTCTCCTCACCTCTCAGAGCCAAAAGCAATCTACACCTCAGCCACTGTTTTTGACATCTTCCCCTTCTGAGATACAGCTTCCTGGGACTTTTCATACAAAGCCTAATGTCAGGCCACGGCGGTCTTCCAGGATGACTCCCTCCCCACATTCCTCTGCTGCCCCTAGACCAGCATCTCGAACCACTCGGGGCAGGGCAAATAGGTCCTCTACCAGGACCCCAGAACCGACTGTCCCTACAGACTCTGAACTTCAGCCTCCCACCTCCACAGAACAGCCTGTCATCCCCAAACCCACCTCTCAGGGCACTCAGGGCAGCACAAATAGTTCCTTTGTTAACACACCTGAACCAGTTGTTCTCACAGGTCCCGAAACCCAGCCTCCCACCTCCACAGAACAGCCTGTTAACCCAAATTCCACACCTCGGGCTACTCGGAGCAGGCCAAGTAGGTCTTCCATCAAGACCACAGAACCACTTATTCCCATTGGCCCTGAACTCCAGCCTCTCCCCTCCACAGAACAACCTGTCATACCTAAACCCACATCTCCGACCACGCGGGGCAGGCCACGTAAGTCTTCTGTCAGGACCCCAGAGCTAGTTGTCGCCACTGTTTCTGAACTCCAGCCACCCACCTCCACAGAACAGCCTGTTAACCCTAAACCCACATCTCGGGGCAGACCACGTAAGTTTTCTATCAGGACCCCAGAACCGACTGTCCCCACTGTCTCTGAACTCCAGCCACCCACCTCCACAGAACAGCCTGTCACCCCTAACCTCACATCTCAGTCCTCTCAGGGCAGGACACGTAGGTCTGTCAGGACCCCAGAACCAATTGTCCCCACTGGCCATGAACTCCAGCCACCCACCTCTACAGAACAGCCTGCCACCCCTGAGCCCTCATCTCAGGGCAGGACACATAGGTCTGTCAGAACTCCTGAGGCAAGCATTACCACAACCTCTGAACTCCAGTCGTTCACCTCTAGAGAACAGGATGCTCACAAGCCCACAGCTCTGGGCACTCGGGGAAGGAGATGTAAGGCCTCCAATGAGAATTCTGAATCAGTTGGACCAGTAGCCCCTGATTTTGAGCCTCCCATCTCCAAAGACCATCTTGTTGCCCCTGAGGTGATAGGTCAGAGCATAACACTAAAGTCTTCACCACTAAGTGCTCCCCCAGTTTCCACTACCCCTAAACTCCAGCCTCCTGTCCCCACAGCCCAGCCTGTTCCCCTGGAGCCTATTCCTCAAGCAAGTAACCGAAGGAGACGGAAGGCTGCTGGGAAACAGGGCTCCCACACAGTTCCCATTGGCCACGAGCCTTACTCTGCACCCTCTGAACCTGAGTCCCAATCTTCAACCAGCCAAGGCTCAGGGGCATTAGAAGTAGCTGAGTCGATTACAGTCACTCCTGAGCCCACTGTTCCCCAGGTTCCAGAGACCCCCACTCACAGTCCTCTGATGCAAAATGAAGCAGCTGGGAGACTAGGGTCCATTCCCAAGCCCCAGCCTGAGGCTTCTCGAGTCCGCAAGAAGCCTTCCACTACCACAGACTCACCAGTTCAAAAACGTCCCCGAAGACGAGTTCCCCAGAAGACCACAGAACCCAAGGAAGAAGATCTTTCAGAAACTCAAGTGAAGGAAGAGGTAAGAGGACAGCCGGGGGCCCCCTAGCTAGGAGCAAGAGCTACAGGACTCAGAAATGCCCACTGAGATGTTTTTTAGTCTCAGGAGAAAGCAATTACAACACCAGACAAGAGAAAGAGGCACTGTGCAGAAGACGAGACCCAAGGAAACCCAAGTCGAAGCCGGCGCGCTAAGCCTAACCAAGAAGCGGCAGCCCCCAAGGTAGGAAAGGAAGGGTTGGAGATTGAGAGGAGAATGCTGGTGTAGGTTGCTGTGACCATCTTCACACCATCCCCTAGGTACTGTTCACAGGCGTCGTGGATTCTCGTGGGGAGCGTGCAGTCCTGGCTCTGGGAGGCAGTCTGGCCAGCTCCGTAAATGAGGCCTCCCACTTGGTCACTGATCGCATCCGCAGGACAGTCAAGTTCCTGTGTGCCCTGGGGAAGGGGATCCCCATCCTCTCCCTGAACTGGCTGTATCAGGTAAGAAGCCAGAAGATGATGAGTGGCAGGAAAGGACTGTTCACCTACCCTCCTGGGAAGCAGTGAGAGGAAAGAAGATGGAGAATTGAGTGTTAGTGAGGCCGAGGCTGCTTTGAAAAGACACTTACTGTAAGGGCCGGAATGACTCAGTGGTAGAGCACTTGCCTAGCATGCTTGAAGTCTTGGGGTCAGTCCTTAGCACTGGGAAGGAAAAAGAAGACATGATGAGTTCTCTTAAAATGAAACACTGTTCTGCCTCATCTTCCCCTTAGTCCAGAAAGGCAGGTTGCTTCTTGCCGCCGGATGACTACTTGGTGACTGATCCTGAACAAGAGAAGAATTTTAGCTTCAGCCTTCGGGATGCCCTGACCCGGGCTCGGGAGCGAAGACTGCTAGAGGTGAGGGGCTGCCTTGTGCAGTGTGCTTCAGCCCTACCCTTGAGGACAAGAGGTTTCCCAGTGCCCTTAGCCTCGTGTGCAGACATTTGTCCCCACCACTCCTCTTTCTTAGGGCTACGAGATTCATGTGACCCCTGGAGTGCAGCCACCCCCACCTCAGATGGGAGAGATCATCAGCTGCTGTGGAGGCACAATCCTGCCCAGCATGCCCCATTCCTATAAGGTATGATGTGCGTGTCCTGAACCTGAGGAGGTGGGAATGAGAAGAGGATGACGGAGGAAGAGAGTCAGAGGAATGAGGGAGAAAGCTGATGGTACCAGTGGACCTCGTTTTGTTTTGAGGTTTAAATATTTTCAAGTAGCCAGATGTGGTACCACATGTTGAGTACAGCCTTAACCCAGGCTTCTCAACCTTCCTGACTCTGCACACTTTATTACATTTCCTCATGTTGTGGTGACCCCCAACCATTAAATTATTTTTGTTGCTACTTCAAAACTGTAACTTTGCTACTGTTTTGAATCATAATGTAAATATCTGTGTTTTTTGATGGTCTTAGGCAACCTCTATGAAAGGGTTGTTCGTCCTCACTCGGGGTTTTCAACCCGTAGGTTGAGAATTGCTGCCTTAACCTAAGTGCTGCTAAATGGCCTTAACTCCCCTTTGGTTTTTGGTTTTTGGCTAAAATTTTGTTATCTGTGTTTTTTTTTTTTTTTGGTTTTTCGAGACAGGGTTTCTCTGTAGTTTTGCGCCTTTCCTGGAACTCACTTCGTAGACCAGGCTGGCCTCGAACTCACAGAGATCCGCCTGGCTCTGCCTCCCGAGTGCTGGGATTAAAGGCGTGCGCCACCACCGCCCGGCTCTGTGTTTGTTTTTTAAGACAGATTCTCACACAGTAACCTGAGATAGCCTTGAGCTCGCTACATAATGATCCAGACTGGCCTAAAACTCAAACTGACCCTCTGCCTCACTCTCCCCAGTGCTGGGGTGAAGGAGGAAAGCATACCTGTGAATCCCAGCATTTGGGAGTCCTAGGTAGAAGGGTCCAGGAGTTCCAAGTCATCCTTGGCAAGTTTGAGACCAGCTTGGACTACCTTAGAGTGTCTCAGATCTGCCCATAACAGTCAAACAGAAAATGACTTTAATAGAGTGTGATGACTCACTTCTTTGACCCAGCCTGACACTTGAGAGGCAAAGGCAGGAGATCACTATAAATTCAGGGTTTAGCCAGTGCTCCACAGAAAGACTCTTTCTCAGAAAACAAAACAGCATATATTATTTCCTTCTTCTCTGTGCTTAAATATACATTTCTAAGAAGTGTATGCTTTTTCTTCAGTATTCACCATACCATTGCAGATCTCCAACAAAATTAGCAATAGTTTCTCCACTAATCAAATTTTCCAGTTACCTGAAAGATGCCATTTTGTTGTTTTGTTTATTGAGACAGGGTCTCTACATAACCCTCAATGTCCTGAAACTCACTCTGTAGACCAGGCTGGCCTTGAACTCACAGAGATCCACTTACCTTTGCCTCCTGAGTGCTGGGATTAAAGGCATAAACTACTATGCCCAGCTTTGTTGTTGTTTTGATGATAGCAGAATTTTTGTTTTTTGTTTTTTGTGTATTGTTTGAAACAATGTAGCCCAGGCCATCCTCTTGGCTTAGTATAGTAAGTGCAGAGATTTACAGGCCTGTGCTACTGTGACCAGCTAAAAGATATGTTTTTACAGTTCTGTGTAGAATTTTGCCAAGCATGGTGGTACATACCTGTAGTATCTACCATTTGTTCAAGAGGTTGAGGAAAGAGGGTCACTTGAACCTTAGAGTTCAAAATCAGACTGAGCAACACAGTGAGAACTCCATTTCTTTTTTTTTCTTTTTTCTTTTTTTTTTTTTTTTGGTTTTTCGTATCAGGGTTTCTCCGGGTAGCTTTGCGCCTTTCCTGGAACTCACTTTGTAGACCAGGCTGGCCTCGAACTCACAGAGATCCTCCTGCCTCTGCCTCCCGAATGCTGGGATTAAAGGCGTGCGCCACCACCGCCCGGCTACATTTCTTTTGTTTTGTTTTATTTTATTTTTTGAGACTGGGTTTCTCTGTGTAGCCCTGGCTGTCCTGAAACTCATTCTGTAGACCAGGCTGGCCTCAAACTCAGAGATCCACCAGCCTCTGGCTCCTGAGTGCTGGGATTAAAGTCATGCCCCACCACTACCCAGTGAGAACCCCCATTTGTTCTTAAAAGCAAAAAGCTAAAGTTCGTATAAAGCCCATAGATTGGTTGTATTTCCTGATTCTCTTATTGTGAAGTGCCCCTGCCCCTGTGTATTCCACCCTATCCGACCCCATTCCTTTGTAGGAACTGTATTCCCAACAGAGGCTAGGCCAGTTGTCCCTAAGAATATTCCCCATCAGGATTTTTCTGTGTTTTCCCTTGTTTGTATCATTTTTATCTTATCCCACTATATTCTGTGTTTTGTGCAAATTATAATTATAAAAGCAGCAATGGGGGCTGGGAATGGAGCTCAGGTGGCAGCCTGTTTGCCTAGCTGGCAATTACAACAACTCTGGGTTTGATACCTAGCACATGTGGAGTGGACTTGGTAATACAGACTTGTAGCCCCAGCACTCTGGAGGTGGAGGCAAGAAGATCAGAAGTTCAAGGTTATCTTTATATAAATTTCAGGCCAACTTTGGGTGTATGAAACCCCTTTCCAAAAAAGAAAGGGGAAGGTGGGTTGAGCTGTTTTGAGTTAACCTTTGGGGCAAGAATACTTGATAGGCAGGGCAATGTACTTCATGCATGCTTTGGGTGTGTGTGCATATGACTGTAAATATAGATATAGTTTGGTTCTGAGACTAGTAGGGGGTACTGCATCTGTTTCAAGGTTCCTTCCTCCCCAGCTGTCTTTGCTGTGTCCTCTACAGCCTCATCGAGTTGTCATAACTTGCACCGAAGACCTTCCTCGCTGTGCTATTCCATCTCGCCTGGGGCTACCTCTCCTCTCTTCTGAGTTCCTCCTGACTGGAGTGCTGAAGCAGGAAGCCACCCCAGAGGCCTTTGTCCTCTCCAATTTGGAAATGTCATCTACCTAAAAAGAAAAAAAAAAATCTACCAGCTAACACTCGTAGAAAAAGGAACACACACACACACATACACACACATACACACACACACACACACACACACACACACACACACACACACACACACACACAATCAAGACTGGACAAGGTTGTCACACCTTTAGTCTCAGCACTTGGGAGGCAGAGATAGGCAGATTTTTCTGAGTTCCAGACCAGCTAGTGCTACATAATGAGATCCTGTCTCAAAAACCAAAAAAAAAAAAAAAGCTCAGGGTTTCACAAAGGCCTAAGATGCATTGATATAACTGCTTTGGGAATGTGGAGAAGACCAAAGAGTTTTTGAAAAAAAGAAGAAAGGGGACTTTTTTCCCTACGATGTCCATTTTAAATTGGCCAACCCAGGCTGGGGGTGTAGTTGTGTGGCAGAGAGAACCCTTGCCGTCAGTGGTCCGTAGCTGCACTGATGAAGCTGTGGTCCAGGCCCCGAACCCTGGTCTTGCTCCCTTCTTGGAAGTTATCACTTCCCCTTTCCTTGCCAGGATTCTTACTCAAAGTGAACCAGCTCCCAGGAATACCTGACTGAGAAGATACATGTTTTCTGGTCTGTGACTCACTGTTTAGAAAGGGCTTTTAGTTTTGCTGCACATGGCCTGCTTTTCCAGTGTTTGCTGTTAGCTTTGGTCATCTCTGTGGTAGGTCAGTGCTCACTCAGTCTGCCTGATGGTGAATTTCTGGTGTGGCGACACAAGACAATTTTGAACTTGCACTCATTTATCAGTACCAATTTAGAGTAAATTATATTTGTTTTTAAAAGTTGGTCACTTTCCAGGATGTAGGACTCTTAGGTACTACCGGTATTTGGTTTGGCCTCTGCAGTAAATAGTTTGAAAGTTCCTTTGAAGTTAAGTGCAAAGCTAGTCATGGGGGCATTTCCTGTAGTCCCAGTACTTAGGAGGCTGCAGCAGGAAGGTCACAAGTTCCAGTTCAGCCTGGGCTACAGAGTAAAACCTGGTCTTAGAAGAGGAGAAAGAAAGAAAGGAAAGGGGGTTTTTGTTTTTGTACTTTTTGTAGTTAGCTTTGGTCATCCCTGTGGTAGGTTAGTACTTATTTGGCCAGCCTGATTACCATATGACCAAACAATACTTCTCTGCCTCCTATTGGAAGTTCAGGTAGGGGCAAGTGGGATCAGAAGTTCAAGGTCAGCTTTGGCTACATAGCAAACTGGAGGCCAGCCTAAAACTACAAGAGACTCAAAAATGAAAAACAGGCACTTGATAAATTTTTTATTTTTTGCTTTATGCTTGCTAGGTCATCACTTTGCCACTAAAGCCTCATTCCCAGCCCCTTATTTTCATAATAGCCAAATATAGAAACAGTGTAGATGGCCAGGCAATGGTGGCACACACACCTTTAATCACAGCACTTGGAAGGCAGGGGCAGGTGGATCTCTGAGTTGGAGAAAAAGAGAGACTAGATGTTTGTTCAGCAAGGGTGAACATAAAATATGCTATGTGCACCAAAAGGTATGCTCAGACAAGAAGTAAAAAAAAAAAACATTGGAAGATGAGTATCAAGAACACCCTAAGTAAAAGAACCAGACGGGAAGGACACATTTGATTCCACCTGCACGATCTATCCAGAATGGGTGTGGATCAATTCATCCCAGACTCTTGAGGACAGGGGAGCTGTTCATGGGGAGCCAGAAAGAGGAAGAATTGTACATAGTGCAGAATATTAAATGCTGCTGTACTAAATGCCTCTTTGCTATGTGAATTTCACTTCAAATAAAAATATAGTTGCTTACTTTGTAGTTTTCTGCAGTGAACTGTGTATAAACTTAGAGAAGTACTTTGGTGTAGTACATACAGCCTACTTCCTCTCTGGGTGGTAGGTGTCAGACTAGGCCCTGCTCTTGCTAGGCAACTGCTTTACAACTTATTTATACCCAGCTCTATGCTGGATCTTTATGGTTTTTCTTTGGGGGGGGTGGTTCTGGGGGTTGAATCTAAGGCTTTCAGCAGTGCTACTCAAATAAATGCTTCATCACAGCCGGGTGGTGGTGGCGCACACCTTTAGTCCCAGCACTCGGGAGGCAGAGGCAGGCGGGTCTCTCTCTGAGTTCGAGGTCAGCCTGGTCTACAGACCTAGTTCCAGAACAGGCTTCAAAGCTACACAGAGAAACCCTGTCTTGAAAGAAAAAAAGAAAAAGAAAAAGCTTCACCACTAAACTGTAGTCCCAGGCCTTTATTAATTTGGTGCCTGTGGAAGTGAGAAGTCAGCCTTGGATGTCCTTCCTCAGAAGTCCACTTTTGTTTTTCTTTGAAACAGGTTATCTCATTGGGACGGAGGGCTCCCTGTAGGCTAGGCTGTGGCCAGTGAGCCCCAGGCATCTGCCTCTCTAGGACTTGGATTATGAATGTGTTTAAGTATGAAGCAGGATAAAGAAAAACCATAAAGCTTAGTGCAATCCTTGTTTCCCACCTACAAGCTCTTCTGGGACCACTTCAGAGCTAAAACAGTGGAACCAGACTACAGTGCTACGATGCAGTCCAGCACTTGGAGGCAGAGGCAGGAGGATCAATTCAAGACTATTCTCGGCTACATAATAGCAAGTTCAACGCCAGCTTGGACTACATGAAGATTCTGCCATTTAAATAAAAATAAAAGGCGGAGAGAGCAGTATGCAGAGAGAGCTTCCTCAAAAACACTGATATCCTCGGACTCAGCCCACTCAGTACAAATTTCCCAAGCAGAGAGCAGACGGGGAGGAAATACGTTATACGATGCATGACAGTTAGTCAAGAGGCGGTGGAGCACCCACCCTGGGTGCTGCTAGATGTTGCCCTGTTCCTCAGCCTGAGGGCCTTGCCTTTGCTTGTCTTGGACATTTTTATCTCTCTGGCCTTGCTCTATCTGTAAACTGAAGGAATTAGCTCATGTCTTCTGAGGATCCTGTACTCAAGGATAGCTAAGGTGGGGACCGACCCTTTCACCACGTGGTCTTTTTCATTTTTTTGGACTGGGTCTCCATGTGCCGTCGAAGCTAACTTCAACTCTTCCTGCCTCAGCCTTCCGAGGACTGGAATTACTGGCATGAACCATCACGAGCAACTCTCAAATGATCACTAAATAAAAATCTATGTTGGGCGCGGTGGCGCCGCCTGTAACCCAACACTCCAGGGACTGAGGCTGGAGGATAAGGAGTTGCTATTCTAAAACACAGGATGTTCTTTATGTTTCCACGCAAGGGAGGCTCTGTCTTCACTTGCCACGCGAACACTGGCCGCACTGATATTCGATCCACGCGGGTGGCTGCAAAGCCGCTGCCCTGACGACGCCTGGGGTTCCAGGCTCCGCGCTGTGACGCGCCGCTCGCGGTCCCCGCCCTGCGGCCAGCACCCCACGGAGGCGGGACCTGGGCGGGGCCAGCAGCCGCGGGAACCCCGAGCCCGCCTCCTCGGCCAGCGCTTTGCCGCTCGCCATGGCCCCGGCGCTGCTGCTGGTCCCGGCGGCTCTTGCCTCCTTCATCCTAGCCTTTGGGACCGGAGTGGAGTTCGTGCGTTTCACCTCCCTGCGGCCGCTGCTTGGAGGGACCCCGGAGTCTGGCGGTCCGGGTGAGCCGCACGGATCCAGGGCGAGCTGAAGCGGAGAGGAGGAGCCAGAGCAGCGTGGAGAGGGCGGGGCATGGAAACAAATGACAGGGAAAGGCCGAAGCTGCGAGGCGCCGCAGGGGAGGAAACAGAAGGCTAAATCAGAAACTCCAAGATTAGTCAGTCCTGTGCAGAAACTGGGGAGTGAGGGCGGACAGAGTAAGGGCGGGGCTGGGGGCAGCCTTTTGTGGGGAGAACTAGGGACAGGGAAAGATAAAAAGAGGAAACATTAGAAAACCCCAACAGCGGGCCGTGGTAGCTCACGCCTTTAATCCTAGCATTTGAGAGGTAAAGGCAAGCAGATCTCTGAGTTCAAGCCTGATCTATTGAGTAAGCGTTATGTATGTAGAGAGACCCTGTCTCAGAAAAACAAAAACAAAAGAAAGAAAACCACACCAAAGGTGACTTCTCCAGCCTTGCTTTGTTTGTTTCTGTGTGTGCAGGTACAGCTGAAGGCCAACCTTGAGTGTCCTTCTTCAGGGGCTAGACACCTTTTTGTTTTTAGACAGGGTCTTACTAGGTACCCCCAGCTGGCTTGGAACTCAGACTTCCACCTGCCTCTGCCTCCCAAGTATTTTGGGGACAGAGTCTGTCGCTGAAACCAGAGGCCTACCAACGAGATCAGATGGATCACCTGGAACTGGGGTTATAGACGGTTGTGAGCTGCCATGTGGATGCTGAGAACCAAACTCTGTCCTTTGGAAGAGCAGCAAGTGTTCTTAACTGCCAAGCCATGGCACCAGCCCCTCTGGGCATTCTCCTGTCTCTGCCTCCCCAGCACTGAGATTACCAGCACACACCACCGTGCTGGGCTTTTTGTAGGGGTGCTGAGGATCAAATTCAGGTCCTCATACTTACATAGCACTGAGCCATCTCCCCAACCCACCCACATTTTTTTTTCTTTTTCTTTTTTTTTTTTTTTTTCTCGAGACAAGGTTTCTCTGTGTAGTTTTGGTGCCTGTCCTGGAACTCACTCTGTAGACTAGGCTGGCCTTGAACTCACAGAGATCCGCCTGGCTCTGCCTCCCGAGTGCTGGGATGCCACCACCGCCCAGCCCCCACATTGGTTTTAATGGCCCTACCTGCATTCTCCTAAGAACCTTCTTCCCCAGAAGGAGGCCTAGGGAAGATGGAAGATTGAAGGAACAGGAAATTGAACTGGGCATGGCCTTGACAAGATCTCGAAAGCATCAGGGACACGGCATAGGGCTCCAAAAGAAGATGAGGGAAGGGGATGTTCTAGCCATCTTATCTTTGGTTCCTGTCTTCCCTAACTCCCACAGATGCCCGCCGTGGGTGGTTAGCTGCCTTGCAAGATCGAAGCATTCTTACCTCCCTGGCTTGGGATCTTGGGCTTCTGCTATTGTTTGTGGTGCAGCACAGCCTCATGGCAACCGAGACAGTGAAGGAATGGACATCCCGGTACTTTGGAGTCCTTCAGAGGTCTCTGTATGTGGCATGCACTGCCCTGGCCTTGCAGGTACGAGGCCTTGGCCAAGGGAGACGTGATTCATGGTGTGCTTACACTGGAGGGACAAGATGAGTGTGTAAGGAACCAGAGGATGCTAATCTCAGCTTCCATTCCTCCAGAGCATACACTTCATTCTCTCAGCAAAGTTCTGGTTTTGACATTTCCCAGCACAAGATGAGGCGTCTCACTTGTAGCTTTGTGCTGTCTTGCTTCAAAAAAAAATTTTTGTTGTTGTTGTTGAGACAAGGTTTCTCTGTGTAGCCTGTCCTGGCTGTCCTGGAACTCGCTCTATAGACCATGCTGGCCTCTAACTCAGAGATCTGCCTGCCTCTGCCTCCCGAGTGAGTGCTGGGATTAGAGGCGTGAGCCACCGCCCCAAACCACCTCCCTAGGTCTCAAGAGAAGGTGTCTTCCAGTTAGTCTTCTCATTGGATGTTTGTCTTCGGCGAGTTTGGTGGGTATCCACCAGCCCCCATCCCATCCTCGGCAGAAATGGGTCCCTTCATAGCCTTGGTACCCCATCCAGAACCCTCTACATGGCAAATATTCACTGTTTATACCTGGGGGAAGGAGTTGTAGGTTGCCGTAGGGCGAGGGAAACCACTGGCCTGCCTAGTTTTCATCTTTCCGCAGCTGGTGATGCGGTACTGGGAGACTGTACCCAGAGGCCCAGTGTTGTGGGAGGCTCGGGCTGAACCATGGGCCACCTGGGTGCCCCTCCTCTGCTTTGTGCTCCACGTCGTTTCCTGGCTCCTCATCTTCAGCATCCTTCTGGTCTTTGACTACGCTGAACTCATGGGCCTCAAACAGGTGAGGATCCCACACCCCTGCCTGAGACCTGTGTCTGCAGCTCTCTCCTCTTCCTCCCACACGATTCTGTCCTCTTGGCTTTCTAGTCCCTTGCCTCCTTTCATGATCCCCTTCTTCAGCTTCAAAGGCCAGTGACTATAGGTCTCTGAGCTTGAGGATGATACCTGGACCAGAGACTTAGGTTGGGGTAGAGCCTCAAAAGGGATCCTGGGCCTGATTTCTAATGTGGTGCCAGGAAGAGGACAGAGTCAGCTGAGAAAGAGGGCTTGATTTCTTTCCATGTTGCTCTCTCTCCCAGGTATATTACCATGTCCTGGGGCTGGGCGAGCCTCTGGCTCTGAAGTCTCCTCGGGCTCTGAGGCTCTTTTCCCACCTTCGACACCCAGTATGTGTGGAACTTCTGACGGTGCTGTGGGTGGTTCCCACCCTGGGCACTGACCGCCTCCTCCTGGCTCTCCTCCTTACCCTCTACCTGGGCTTGGCACATGGGCTGGACCAGCAAGATCTCCGCTACCTTCGGTCTCAATTACAAAGAAAACTCCAGCTTCTCTCCAGACCCCAGGATGGGGGAGCAGAGTGAGGAGCTAGCTCAGGTTCTAAGGCCTGTACTCCCTCAAAACAAAAATCCCTTAGCATCCAAGCCGGTTGCTTCAGACTAGAGGCTGTGCCGAAGGGGCTGTCCCTTCCCCTGCTGGAGACCTCAGTTCCAGGGTCCAGGTACCCTACTCTAGAGTTTCAGCCACTGGCCTCCAGGGTCCACTTCTCACCAACCAAGAGTGGGTACAGAACTCATGAATCTCATCTCATCTCTTGGGGCATGACCCACACACACAAGGCTAAGGGTTCTGCCTTGAGCATTCACTCCCTTGGCACTGTTACTGGCTCTGCACCTCAGGGATTCCCTTCCTAGCTTCCACTTCAGGGAGCTATGTCAGGGCCAGTCTGCAAGTTTGCTGGTGGTGCTACTTCTCTTGTGCCGCGGCTGTGCGTTTTCCCCACTCCTGCCTCAATTTCTCCACCTCCTTAGGTCCAGCCCTACAGCTCCTTGGCGTCTCCCATTTTTTTAACTCGGTCTCCTACAGCGGTGTCTCCCGTTTTTAACTCGGGCTGACGCCGGGCTCCCTGCTCTCCCAAAGGATATGCGCTGCAGAAAAATTAAAATTTTCTAATATGGTATCCAGTTGTCTGTCCATGTCTGTCAAGCCGCAGGACCAAGTGTGGGAAGGAAGATGAGGCCAAGTTCTTGTGGCAGCAGCCAAGCACGCTCTGACGACCGCTGGGCTGGGGCCACACCCCATGGGCCCGCCCCAATCTCCCAGTCCTGCTCCCTCCAAATATTACAGTTTCTCCGCGTATAGATCAGGGGACCCGTGGGGGACAGAGTAAGTCTCTGAGAGGGGAGCGAACTCCCAAAGCCATTTGCCTCAGACTCTGGGGCCTGGCAGCCGCCCACACCACCACGGTAACAAAGACTGGCCAGGGAAAGCAAAAGCATGGGGAGGAGCGGCGAGTGATGGGAAGGGCGGGTCTGACTCCAAGCAGCTGCCGCTTCCTCCCCAGGTCCCTCAGGGGGCCTGAGTCACGGGCCGCCGCCCCGGGTCGGCCAGCTGGAGCAATGGGTCTGGACACCCATCTTCTCCAGGGCTGGGAGGGGAAGTGGGTGAGGGCCTCTGGAGACCGACAACCAAGAGTTGTGGACTGCCACTGCAAGAGACGAGTGCCACCACGGAGTCCCACGCGGGAAGGGCAGCGAAGCCCCGCCCTCCGCTGGGCTCCGCCCTGCGCCCCCTTCCCTCGCCCCATTGTCCGTAGACAAAGCGGTCGCCGCCCCCGCCTGGCCCCCGTCTGAGTCTCCGTCCCTCCTCCCAGGCTCCCACTTCCCTCCTCCTCTGCTGCCCTCCCTCCGGATCTCCCTTTGCCTCTCTCCTCCTCTTCCTCTCTCCCGACGCCTGGCTCTACCGCACCTCCTCCTAGGGACCCCCAAGGCGTGTAAGTTGACTGTGGGGCTCCCACTTCAAGGGAAGTGTCTCCCGGCCTCCCTTGGAGTGCCTCCCCTTTGTGCAGAGATTGCCTGTCCGTGCAGTTCCCGCGGGTGCATGGCCCGCTGGGTCAGGGTCCCCTGGGAGCCGGGTCCCCGGTTGGGGACGGTAGAGGCATGATGCGGGTCCTCGGAGCGCCCGGGCCCTGGGGCGTAGCTGGTGGGGAGGCCGGCGAGGCTGACGGGACTGGACGCGGGTGGACGCCAGGGTCCTGGGAATGCGTGGGCAGCACACTCTCCCGGGTACCAAAAGTCCCAGAGGAGGGTATTTCCCCTGACCCGCCTCCTGGGCGGAGTGCGCGGTGGGGTGGGGACCGGACCGAGGGGCGGGGCCGAGCGCGGCCGGGAAGGCAGCCGGGACCTGCGGGCCGGTGCGGAGAGGCGCCCGCGCCCTTGCCCGCTTCCCGCTCTCCCCTTCTCCCCCGACCTCTGCCCTCTGCACCTGCCCCCTGCTTCTGTCCTCACCTTCTCACATCCCCTCCGACCCCTCGCCCCCTCGCCGGCCGGTTCCCGGGTCTTCCTTCCCACTTGTCTCCCCTGGGTACCGGGGAGGCAGCCTCAACTGAACCCGCTCACTTCTCAACCCCAGTCCCCCGTCCTCTCGTTCTCTCCTGCTTTTCCTCCCTTTCTCACATCTTAGGGACTGTCTAGTGCCCACAAACCCCAATCTGGCGCTGCCTCTGCCCGGAATCTCGACTCTTCCTCTCCCATTAACCCCACCCCCATCTTGGCACCCAGCTTTTCTCTTCACTTCTTCTGTTCTTGCCTCTTCTGCTCTCCCTCCCCTCCCGGTTCCCCTCTATCTTCATCCTTAGTTCCACTATCCTCTGTTCTTCTTCGTCTCTTTCCGCATCAATTCCTCCTCCCCCGCCCCCCATTCTCAATCTCCGGGCCCCTCCGAAGACTAGCCTTCCTGTTCCTGTCCCCCAGTGCTCTCTCGTTCCCTTCCAGTGACCATGACCGCTATCCCAGATTGGAAGCTACAGTTGCTAGCCCGGCGGCGGCAGGAGGAGGCGGCGGTTCGTGGCCGTGAGAAAGCGGAACGGGATCGCCTGTCCCAGATGCCAGCCTGGAAGCGGGGAATCCTGGAACGACGCCGAGCCAAGTCAGGCCTGCCTCCTGGAGAGGCGAGCCCTGTGCCTGGGACTGCAGAGGCTGGACCTCCAGACCTAGACGAATCCGCTGTCCTCCTGGAGGCCATTGGACCAGTACATCAGAACCGATTCATCCAACAGGAGCGACAGCGGCAGCAGCAGCAGCGGAATGAAGGGCTCGCTGATAAGAAGCCTGGGCCTCTGGAGGCTCTAGAACGGAGGTCAAGTCCTGGTAATTTAAGAGAGCAGAGCCCCAAGGGAAGAGAGTCAAGAGAAGAGAGGCTGAGTCCCAGAGAGGGCAGAGAGAGGAGGCTGGTGATAGGGGGAGCCCAAGAGTCATGTTCCAGGACTTCGGAGACTCGAGACTGGAGGCAGAGCCCTGCGGAGGCCAGAGACCTGAGTTCCAGACCAGCAGAGGCTCAGAAATGGAGGCTGAGCCCTGGAGAAACTCCAGAGGAGAGTCTGAGGTTAGCAAGTCCTGGAGATCACAGTCCCAAGAGAAAAGAGGTATTAGAAAGCAGACAGAGCCCCGGGGAGTCTGGCGACCAGAAGGCCTGCCTGACAGAGGCCCATAGATGGAATCTTGACCCGAAAGAACCCCAGAAACAGAGCTTGATACAGCTGGAGGCCGCAGAGTGGAAGCTGAACTCAAGAGAAGAGAGAAAAGACTACTTGGAGGAGTGTGGGAGAAAGGAAGAGAAACTGAGTCCAGGGATTGTCCTAGACCAGTCTCCAGTGACAAAGGAGGTTCAAGACACCACCTCTAGAAAAGTGGAGACTGCCAAGCAGAGGCCCAGCCCTGTGGAGGATGGAGACAGGATCTCGAGGCCCACTGAAGGCTGGAAATGGACCCTAAACTCTGGGAAGGCTCGAGAACGGACATCTCAGGACACAGAGACTCGAACTCAGAAGCCAGATGCCCCGGCATCTTCAGAGAAGCACCTGGGGCCTTCTGGTGTGGAGGTTGAAGGGGAGGCTGAGAGAGAGGAGGCGGGGGCTCAGAGCAGGCCTCTGAGAGCCCAGCAGAACCTCTGCGCTGGGCCCTCCCCCCTCCCACCAGAGCAGGCCGGGGCTGGGACGGAAGGCCCCAGACAGCAGGAAGAGGAAGCAGCAGAACTCCGGCCCCCAACGCCAGCCCCTCTGTCTCCCCCACCCCCAGCCCCAACTGCCCCTCAGCCCCCCGGGGATCCCCTCATGAGCCGCCTGTTCTATGGGGTGAAGGCAGGACCGGGGGTGGGGACCCCCCGCCGCAGCGGACACACCTTCACTGTCAACCCACGGAGGTGTGTGCCCCCTGCCAGCCCAGCCCCTGCAGCCACCCCTGCCACAGCTGATGCTGCAGGGCCTGGACCCGGGAAGAAGCGGTACCCAACCGCGGAGGAGATCTTGGTGCTGGGGGGCTACCTCCGTCTCAGCCGCAGCTGCCTGGTCAAGGGGTCCCCTGAAAGACATCACAAACAGGTGAGAAAGCGTAGAAGTCTCCTTCCAGCTGAGTGGATGGCTTTTTTATGTGCCTGTGCGCTTGTCTTCTATTCCTTATTCCTGCCACCCCGCTTCCTCCCGGTGCACACACACCCTTCCTCTGGGCACCCCTCCTGCGCCATTCATTTCGGAGCACGGAGCACGGAGGGCTGTGCCCAGCAGTCAGCTGCTGTGTTGGGGTGTGCCGTTTTCAGGGTGTGTCCAGGCCGGTGCCTTCTCCTTCCCTCATGCTCTCAGCCCCCTCTCCTTTTTTACCCCCTTTTGAGTTTTTGACCCAGCCAAGCCCTTTTGGTAGGAGAGAAGAGATAACCATCTTGCAGCCGTGAGGGCAGGGGTGAAAATGCCCGGGAGGGCAGAGAATGTGGAAGCAAGAAGTTCAGGAAAGTTGGAATGAGGGTCTCAGCCCCAAGAAAAGAGGGAACAGAACTAAACTAAAGGGGACATCCCTGGACGGAGAGGGACGAGTGAGATGGAGCAGAGCTGGCTGAAGAGCCGAGAGAAGGCTTTTAGACCCCCGAGTCATCCTCCCCACCCCCCACCCCCAGGAGAGGCATACAGAGGCCATTTGAAGTGGGTGACCTCGGGGTTGCCTGTCTCCCCCAGCTGGGCAAGTGTTAGACAGTGCCTCCTTCTCTCTGGGGACAAGAAAAGCCTTCTCCTCTTCCAAAATATCCCAGTCCCTTCCCCCATCTTTCCTCCCGGGCTTCCCCTCCCCCATGGAACTGGCTCACCCTTGGTTTTCCCCTGTCCCTCCTACCCTGGCCTCTCCCTCCCCTTGGGGTAGAAAAAGAGAGAAGTTCATTTGCACTGAGCTGAGCAGAGACTGGCCTAGGCACTGTGGGAGTTGGGGGCAGGGGTGGGGCTGAGGCCATCGGAGGGTCAGAGGTTAGACTGGAATGCAGACATGCAAGGAAACACTGGACAGCTTAGCTTCTCCCTCTGGTCCTGGCCCCACGCCTTCCTCCTGTGCACCAGGCAGTTTCCTAAGTGAAAGGTCTCCGGGAAAGACAGCATTACACTCAGACGCCTTGGACCAAAAGGTCCTCCGCCCAACCCACATCTCCCCGGGGCCTGGGAAGCCTGCTCCTGCTTAGTCTATGTAACTGTGTATGTTTGGTGTCAGTGGGAGACCACAAGGACCAAAGATCAGGGTCAAGCTGGGGGATCACGTGATTCCTCCCAGTTCATCTTTCTGTTGTTCTTCACTTATGTACAGAGTATTCATTTTCATTATAGCACTTTTGAGTATGACTTTATTGTCTCACCTCTGTCGCAGCTTCCCTGGAGCTCCAGCCCTCCTGGGGTGGTCCCTGAGAGTGTACCCTGAGCCCTCCGACTCCTATTGGCCCTCCCTTCTCAGGACTTGGCAGATCTCAAGGAAATGCTCCCAGGGCGAAGTGCTCAGAAGAGTCACTTCCTCCGGAGGATGGCTTGTGACTTTGGGGAACGAGCAGAGGGAGGCACAAGGCTTTGTAGCCCGAGCCTAGGAACCATCTGGGGGAAGCCAAGGAGGCTGGTGCAGAGCAGGACCTGGGATGGTGACCATACCTCGGTCACCAAGT